GGCCCCCGCGCCCTCAGGAGCAGCGCACGGCCCAACCTCAGGCCCCAGGAGTCAACCTCACATTTACACAGCTGTCACAGCTCAGATAGCAACATTTCAGCTGACAGTGTTCAGTCTTCCTGAGTCACCCAGTGACCCCCCCCACCCCCAGACCTTCACGCACAGACACAAGAGTCAGCCTGGGCGTCCCGGCAGAGCTGTCTACAGCACGGGTGTATGGGGGAGGGAGGAGCTGTGCAGCGCTATCACTGTCTGACCAGCTGGCACACGGAAGGACGTGAAATTGCATCTTGAATTCCTCTTACTACAGAAAAATCTACACACAGACTTGAAACCTGCTGTTCTAAACACTTCCGAAGTACGAGGACCACTCAGTGGTCCTCACAGTCTTCAAATTACAAGACTACACGGGAGTGCTCAGACATCCCCTGCCCCGTGCTGGTGACCAAGCAGCCTGGGTGTGACAGGAAGCCCTTCATGGAGAGCCCACACAACCAAAGGCGTCTGGCCGACCACCAAGCCAGATGTCCCACCTCCCCCAGGCGGGGCAGCCGGAGGCATCTGCCTCACTTCTGGTCCCTTTCTTAGATTCTGTGAGTGGATACCAAGATACTTAGGCCCGAAAAGGTGAAGAGCAATCAAGCAGCCACCAGGCGTTCTGTGCCCAGGACACGGGGCGAGGGAGACATGAGACCACGACAGCTGATGGGACTTTCCACTCTCGATAGGTTCAGGTCCAGGACACAGGCCGCAGACGTTTTCTCCTTAGAGCTGGCAGTGAGTGCTGTTGGGACGGTCCTTGGTCCAGTTGCAGGCAGTCATTTCCCGGCTAGTCCGGCGTGGGCCTCCCCAAACCAACCACGTCTGAACACTCCCTACGATGGCAGGCAGAGCCCGGAGGCCCGTGGGCACACGGCCAGGCACCGAACGCACAGCCCGGGGCCTCCGCTCTGTCGTCTCCTCCGAGTCTGCACAAATGCATGCGTCGACTGCCGGAGCGTGGTCAGCCTGTGCAGCCGTGAAGCCATCCGTGAACAGAGACAACTGATCCAACATCCCACCACAAGGAGAGAACCCCGACGCGGCGGGGGTGGGGGGGAAGTATGACACGTGCCACCTGTCGCTGACTCCTAGCAGCAGGGAAAACGGCCCTGAGAGCTCATGAGCTGCATCTCTGTTCCCCACTTCTTGCCACCAGAACTCCCCGTTCAAGGAGAGACTGGGGAGCAGGTGTTCCTCGGGCAGTTACGATTGGAAGCAGAAGTATGAACAAAAGCACAGTTCTGGAAAGTGCTAAATGTCTTCCCTACTGGGAATATTAGCAGGCCTCCAACCTCGCCATACCTGTGCACATCTCACGGCCCACTTCACTAATATGCAACTGTGACAATCCAGAAGAGGCATAGTCAAGAGGAACAAAGTTAACTTCTGTCCGGGCCTCTTGGGTGACAATGACCTAGGACAGTCCAGTGCCCCGAGCACCTGAGGTGGCATGACAACCCACAAGAACAAGGTCGTTTCTTCTCAGCCACAGCCAGAGGGGACAATCGGAGCACAGGATGTGGGTCACAGGGCGAGCAGCCCCTGTCACCACAGCATGTCTTCTTCCTGCCTGTCACCAACGCCTCCGTTTTCCTCCTACTCGTAAAGCAGAAACTTCTTTATGGGGTCTGGCAGAGGCAGCGAGGAAATCAGATGAAGTCGGTACTTGCCAAGAGCCCGTCTCACGGCCACGCGGCACAAGCCCAGCAGGGTCCTGGGGATACCTAGAGCATCACGGGGGAGGAAGGGACAGAAGAAGGGCGATTACTCCTCGGCTTCTACAGGGAAAAGGCCAGCTGGGGCAGACAGATAGCCCACTAAGCCCCTGCCAACTCCAGGCTCTGAGTGGGGAGAGCCGGTCCTGACCAGCAAGGTCTCGTTACGGGCAGACTCCTTCCACCTTCAGCAGAAGTGAGCCTCCACCGCCACCCACGGGACCGGGGCGTCTGCTTGCGGGAGACATCACCTCCCTCTGGCTGTGGTGAACCTCGTATGACCACTGAGCAACGGTCCCTGCCTCCAACCCTTATCCTAACAGCGTCTGCCCGTGGGCGACCAGAGGCTCCGAGGGAGCAGGGGAGGGTGCCGAGCAGGCCACGGAGGGCAGGCCGACGAGCCTGCTCTGGGTCAAAAGAGCCCAGCGAAGGGTCGGCCTGAGCTAGTGATGAGGGTGCCGAGTGAATATTCACCACCACGGGCAGCTCTGTTCTGTCAGGGAGCTTGCAACTTATCACACGTCAGCTATTTTTGAGAAGGCAAATAAACATGAGCACATTTTAATGAACTGGTTTAGGGAAATTCAGTAACAAAAGAGAAAAATGACCTTAAAGGTCTGGGTGGTAAGGGCTCAGGACAGAAGCTATTAACCCAGACGCCCTCAAGACCCAGGCGGGAAGGCCAGGCGGGCAGGAGGCTTCTCAGGTGCAGGGGCCGGCAGAGGAGAGAGCCTCTGGGAACAAGACCAGGTGACTGCCGTCCAAATCCAACTCTCCTGCTCTCATTTGCTAAGTCAGCAAACTCTTTCTTCATAAACAAGCAAAAGGCAGACTGTATTCTAAGCAAAGAAGACTCATCACAGCACACTCCACGATCTCGGTGCTTGAGTGGAGCTGAAGGAACAAGTGAGACCCCAGAAGAAAGGGGTGAAATTTCCTGAACGGCGTCGTTGAAAATCGCGCAGAAGGGAAGTTGTCTTCTCTAAGAATTTGGGGTCACGAAGCAGAGCAAAAGGGTGAAGGGATATAATTCTAGGAACTCTGAGAACATGTACTTTTACAGGTTTGCTTATATCAACTCTTGGTGTCTAGGAATCTAAAATAGGGAAAACCAGTCTGGAAGACCATTCTGGAAAAGGTCTAGTCCTAACCAAACTCCAGCCTAGTGCTTAGAGATTTTTTAAACAATGCTACGTCCCTATGACAATGCTGGACTTGGGACGTTACACACCTGTGAAAACCCCCAGGACCACACGGCACAAAGAGCGAGCCGTACCGTAAACAACAACGTAAACTAGGACTTCAAGTGATAACAACGTACAGGGTATTAATACCACATTCACAGTGACATGTCACTCGTGAACTGTAACGTACCACACAAATGCAAGATGTTAACGACAGGAGGAAATGTATGTACAGGAGAGAGGAAGCAAATAGGAACCCACTCTACTTTCTGCACAATATTCCTGTAAACCTAAAACTCTTCTAAAAAAATAAAGTCTATTAATTTAAAAAAAAGGCCACACCTCGGTGCACCCAACCCACGCAGACAGATGACAGGCGGGCAGAGAGACGGCAGGCGGGCACACAGACTGCAGGCGGGCACACCGATAGCAGACGGGCACACAAATGGTAGGCGAGCACGCAGACAGACAGGCTGGCAGAGACGGCAGGCGGGCACACAGACGGCAGGCAGGCACACAGACTCCAGGCGGGCAGAGACGGCAGGAGGGCACACAGACGGCAGGCGGGCACACAGACTCCAGGCGGGCACACAGACGGCAGGAGGGCACACACACTCCAGGAGGGCACACAGACGGCAGGAGGGCACACAGACTCCAGGAGGGCACACACACTCCAGGCGGGCACACAGACGGCAGGCGGGCACACAGACGGCAGGCGGGCACAGAGACGGCAGGCGGG